GATGATTTTATGATGTTATAATTATGATTAGTATGCATATAAATTTCAGATTTAGTTTTTGAATTAAAAAGCCCCAAATTGAAAACCCTAGGCTTCTAAATTATTGTTTACTGATGGGATTTGATTGTAGTTAATGAAAACTATTGAAATTAATGTTTTTAATCGAAATTACAGCAAGTTTATATGTTTTTATAATGTTGGATTTTTTATAAAAGGTTAAAATTATGTTTCTTAAAAGGATTTTAATTACCCATTTACTGGGAATATAAGTAAGTGGTTTAAATTAATTTTCAGCATGTTTTAGAGGGTTTAAAAGTGATTTAAAGAGTGTATATATTGCTGGAAAATTTATTATGAATAGGTATTAATGTCTCTTTGTAATTTTGGGTTGTATGAGACTTCCAAGCGAGTGATTTCGTGTATTCGTGGCAATTTTGAGATTATATTTGAGATACGTTCGCGTACTCGGTATTTTTTTAAGTGCGTAGAAGCATGCTAGACTTTGTTTAATTAATTCCAAGGTAGTATCATGATAGGTATTGGCTGGAATTATTGATTGAATTGATGTTGGTGATTAATTTGTGAAGTATGGATTATTTGAGGTGAATAGATGATTGGAATTAATTATGTTGGCATGTTGAATATGAACCACGCTTTTATTATTGGCATGATTGAGAGCATGGTTAATCAAACTAAATGTTTAATTTGGTTTGGAATATAAAACGAGAATTTTATTATGGTTCATATAATTTTTATTGATACTTTAAGCATGAGAGTTGAGCTATCAAGTGTCTTAGTACACAGGAATAAAAGGAAATGCGGTGCCTAAGTGCACTTAAGGGGATATGATTTGCGGTGCTTTATGCGCTTAAGGTGTTATTTAACGCCGAGATAGTTTAAAAGGGTTCAACATTAAATTTATGTGGTCACTAATTATTCAAGAATTTAATCGGTATGTTTGATTGCTTGAATGATTTATGATGATTGATTGTGTTATGGATTGAGAGTTATCACCAAGTTTAAAAATATGTAAACAACGTAAAGTGAAAGATATTACGCACCAAAACTCTTGGAACGTATATACCTTGAGTATGAACATATGGGAGGAGTTATGGGGTTTTATATTTAACCATAGCTTTTACTGGGAGTACAGGACCCTGTATTTTCCTTTATTTATTTTATGCGCAGGACGTCTAGTCACTTACATGTGGCATTTGCCTACCCGGTTAGCTCCTGGAGTAGTTTACCTCAATTTATTTGGGGCAGATATTTGGTGGAAAACTTGTTCGATGCATAATCAAATTAAATAAGCAATTCATTTATTTATTGGTTGATTGTATGGTATGTTGTATGCTTGTAACAGGTGCAACAAGGTAAGTTGTGTGTTGATAGGATAAAAGCATGTTAGTATGTACTGTTAACGTTTATGTACTCAGCTTTGCTTATTGTGTGTTTGTATGTTTGTTTGGCCTTGTATATATCTTGGCCTTATGACGACCCATTTCTAATGGCGAGTAGTGGGGACAAAGTAAAGGGAAACTTTTCAGGTGTTCAAGCATATTCATGATGAGCATGAGTGAAGAGCGATTCCTGTTTAGTTTCAATAAGAATATAATGTGTTTATTCGCTTTGATTATTATATATTTGCTTGTGAGACTAACACAAAGGTTTTTAATATTGTTTTGAGTTTTGATAAGGGCCTACAATGTTCCAAGTTGTAGGTTAACTTCGTTTGACTTTGGTTTGACTTTACTTTCGTTTGGTTTGACTTTTTAAGTTAACTTGTTTTGAATGGTTTTAAAGTGAGTCTTCTGTTGTATGTCTTTGATAATTGCCTTAGCTGTTTTCACGGTGGTGGTAATGTCTTAGAATTTCCTATTTTGTATTTTAAAGGAGGAAAACAGGTATTTTAAAGGAAAAGAATTTCTAGGGTGTTACTTACATGAGTATATATAGTCTAAGAGTATAAAATACAATCCAAGGGCTAAGATTAAAACGCAGCAAACACCTAGAAAATCAGCGGCAGGTACAAAGCACAGGGGGTTCGACCGAACCTACCCTGAGTTCGGTCAGACCAAGGGTGGTTTGGTCGAACTCCTCCCTGGTTCGACTGAACCTGCTTTAGATTTTCACATGCTGCAAGTTCTGCCTCATTTACCTGTTTTGACCGAACATTTCACAAGTTTGGTCGAACCTCGACGACAAAACAGCTTCAATTCTTCGCAATTCACCTTATGCCTCCATCATCTTGAACCACTCTCCACACATTACAAAACCCAACACTAATGCAATTTATTTTTGTTGTATCCCACTATGTCTATTGTCTAACTAAGTCTTTATGTATGACTCTATATACTCCTTTCGTCCTTCTTTATTTGCTTGCCTCAGGCGTCTCTTAAATATTGTCCCATACTAATATAGAAACTGTATGTAACTTTACTTTCACAAAACTTACCTTAGGTCTCACTATTTTATCCCTTATCAACTTCACTCACAAAAACGTAATCAAGTAAAATACAAATTGAATATGGGGCAAAGACGGAGGGAGTAGCCTTCTACGTACTATTGTAGTGTCATAGATGTTTAAAAGTCAAGTTTTCCAGATGATCAAAAATTCAAAAGCATGCATCAATACATCATTATCGATTCCTCTGGAAAAATATGGCTTTGTAGTTTTTATGAATCTATCAAGTATCAACCAATCTGGTAGAATTTGTTCTATACAAAGAGTGATCCAAATTAGAGCTGGCAAACCAATGGAGTTGGTCGGGTTTTTGTTGGCGACAAAAATATATACTGGTCAAAATTCTTTTAACACTAACATCAAATTGACAATTAATTACCACAGGTTATGCCAAGTGTTCCGGTACATTATGCAATTGTAGCTAGCTTTTAAAAAAAATATAAAGTGAAGTATGATCAAAAAAATGAAAATATTTACCCTACAAAAATGTCTTGATTTCCCAAACATTGTAAGCTGAGAGAGCCATCTAATTATAAGTAAATTGAGAGTGAGGGATAGCTCAAGTGGTTAAAGTTTTTCTCCCGATTTCAGCAGATCGTGGGATTGATTCTCACCTCCGTCCTTGTGGATTTCTAAACACCAAAAAAAAAAAAAAAAAAAAAAAAAAGTATTTCAAATTTGAGTCCGCAAATTATTGAGATTAGAATAGTTTTACCATGAATACTTAGTTTTGGACCTTTTGGTTGCTGTTGGAGAAAAAAAAAAGATATAGATAAATGATGACTGGCATTTTTTATGACGGTTTTTTTTTTATTTTCAGAGAGATTGGAGAAAACGGCTTAGCCTCGTATTGATATTCACGACAATATATATAGTGTACAAAGACCTAACTTGCTTAAAAACTCCTAAAAGATATACATGATAAATATACAATATTAATATTAACCAACCGACTACTAATATTTAGGTCGTAAAATGCTTTTTTAAAAAAAAAAAAAATTAAAGAAATTACGTTTAAGGCGGTTTTACAAAAATGTTTCTTTAACTTCATAATTGAGAAGCATCTTGAGAACTTCTTAAATTGACTAATCAAGTCATTAGTGTTTGTAAATGTAGATGAAAGGGAAACAAAATTATACCTTTCAAAAGATTCCATAGTCATTGCACCAGAAAAAAAAAAAACAAAAAAGATTCCATAGTCTACACATCCCAAGATTCTGTAAGCATAATTGAACAAGTATATCATTGTAATTTTAAAAATAGAAACAATGTGGCCATTACATTTGTCATCAATTTACACCTTTGACCATTTATATCACAAATCTAGACTAATAACATACCACTATTTCATCCGTTTCTAAAGGTTCTTTCTTCGATTAATTTTATACCAAAAAAATTCATAAAGAAGAAAATTTTTTAGAATAGAGGTTGAAGGGAGTAACATTTTAATATTTTTTTTACAATAGGTAAACTTCCATTTTCTTTAAATTTTAACATTACAATTTGCACAAATTTAAGAATAATGCATGTTGAGTGGGTGGTTGGTTGTAAGATAAAGGTAATAATACAGATTTGTTAAAGATGAAATAAGTCTTGTATATGGCTAGCCACACGGTGTGGCCACATTGATTTATAAGAAAAATCTTTATTTATATATATGAGTAATCCTATTTATTCATAAGAGTTACCTCATTATGTCAATTAAAGTAATTCCAATTCATTATATGAGTAATATCAACTAATTTAGAAATAAGTAACCCTATTTGTTCATTCGAGTAACCCGTATAAGAATTTAAAAATTGAAAAAATGATTCCACTTATGTAAAAGAGTAACCCTTTTTTTTAAGTAACCCACATACGTCAAGGTAACCCCATTTGCTCATCACCGTAACACCCTATTACTTATTTAATTGCCTTATATGTGAAGTGGCCACACCATGTGACTAGCCACATATAAGAATTGCTCAAAACTTTTAGAAATAGACAAAAAATGAGGTTAAAAGTATTCTGAATCGAAGATAAAACATGTGGAAAGAAAAAAAAAAATTATTCATTTAAACTTCTTTTAGCTCCATTTTGTCAACATATCATATATTTGGTAAGCTTACTTCTTAAATGAAGTAATTATATTCCGTATTAAGTTTTACTAACAAAAAATTTATACAATAATTTGAAGTTTGTTTAATTAATTGCTACGTGTATGTATTTTTGTTACGAATTTCCCTGTAGATTTTGTATATATTTCCTAGGCCTAAGAAGAGGGTAAATATATTTATTTACCCTCTTCTTGGGCTTAGGAAATTAGAATATTTTACCATGCTTTTACAAAAGTACATAAAAGCATTTAATTGTGTGTGTTCAAAGTATTATTGTTCATGTATAAAGATTGAATATTGTTATTGGTTTTGCATGAATTTAAAATCTTAATGAAAGAGCTTGCTGTTTAATTCTGTATGATTTTTTGTAAAGATAATTGAGTTATAAAATGTGATGATCAGGAGTTAAGGAAGCAAGTTCAGTCATATATTTATAAAAAATGTATGTGGTGGAAAGCAAAGGAGGAGCAATAGCATGTATGCTCATGTCTTTGTTGTTCTTGGGTACATGGCCTGCTGTGTTAGCCTTCCTCGAAAGGCGAGGCAGGCTTCCTCAACATACTTATCTCGATTACTCCATTACCAATCTCTTGGCTGCTGTGATCTTTGCCCTTACTCTTGGTCAGATGGGGGATGCCAAACCTAGCATGCCTAATTTCTTAACCCAACTTCATCAGGTTGATCATCTGTTTTAAATTATTCCGTATTCTTTGCAGAACTAGTAGTGTTTTATAGACCTTAATAAGAGTGTTCGTTGTTGCAGGATAACTGGCCTTCTGTGTTATTTGCAATGGTGGGTGGAGTAGTCCTTTCTATCGGAAATTTATCTACACAATATGCTTGGGCATTAGTAGGGTTATCAGTAGTAGAGGTGGTCGGTTCTAGCATTACTGTCGTAATTGGTACATCTTCCTTCCTGTTACAAGCTCAACCCTTCTTTTACAATGATTTAAGATTTTTTTCTTAGAGGCTCACTATGATGGTGTGCTTTCGATTCTTACAGGCACCACACTAAACTATTTCCTCGATGACAAAATTAACAAGGCTGACATTCTTTTCCCGGGTGTTGCATGTTTCCTGATTGCTGTCATTTTGGGTTCACTTGTTCATTCATCTAATGCCTCCGATAACAAGAAAAAGCTGAGTCATTTGTCAAGTGGTTTCGATTACAAGGCTGGGTATGATTCACTTCTTTTCTTATTCTGTTTTTGGTATTCATAATTATATGAAACAGCTTAGTTTTTAAACTGAGACATTTTTATCAGCAAAGTCACTTTTGACAGTAACAAGGGTGCTTCAGTGGATCCTGAAAAGGAAAGACAAACTAAGGTAGTTGCACAGTTCGGAACAGCAGAGTACCTCATAGAACTTGAGAATAAGAGATCCATAAAGGTATTTTGAGTGGCTTGACACACTCAACTAGCATATACTATATCGAACTCCCTAGCCTTCTTTCAGTACTTCTGCTATATTGGATACATCAGTTATCTATCATTTGAACTCAATTACATCATTTATTTTTAGGTGTTTGATAAGGGCATTTGGCTTGGACTCGCTATAACTTTCTTTTCCGGGATCTGCTTCTCTATGTTCTCTCCAGCCTTCAACCTAGCAACAAATGACCAGTTCCATCTCCTACAGAAAGGGATCCCTCATTTGGTGGTTTACACTGCTTTCTTCTACTTCTCAGCCTGCTGTTTCGTGGTTGCCATCGTTCTGAACATCATTTTCCTATACCACCCTATCTTGAGCTTGCCCAAGTCTTCGTTTAAGGCGTACCTGGCAGACACGGAAGGAAGAGGATGGGCCTTACTTGCAGGGGTTCTCTGTGGTTTTGGGAATGGCCTTCAGTTTATGGGAGGTCAGGCTGCAGGTTATGCTGCAGCTGACGCTGTTCAGGTATCTCAGATCTCATCCACAGCGCGTACAAATCCTTGGTTTAATTCTGAATACATCAAATTAACTTGGATAGAATTTTGAATGTTAATATCAGGCACTTCCTCTGGTTAGCACCTTTTGGGCCATACTACTATTCGGCGAGTACAGAAAATCTTCAAAAAGAACATATATATTACTAGTTAGCATGCTGCTGATGTTCATTATAGCTGTTGGTATCCTGATGGCGTCTTCAGGACATAGGAAATGATTAAGCGTCGAATAAATTTGGATATTAGGCATTTTATACACAGAAGTGCAGATTACGTTGAACACAAACTGTAACATTCTGATAAATAAAATGTTACTTATTTCTATATGTCTCCTCCCTTGCCCTAAGAACTCTTACAGCTGCTTCTGCACTTTTTTTTTTTTTCATTATAAGTGAGAGATTAAAACAGTAATTGATTTTCCTTCATTCTAAGATTTTAGTTTTTTACTAGTCCATAACTGATAATTGAGACTACTAATGTCACTTTGGTGATGGACTGGACTCATTCATGAACCTATACTTGTTATTAGAGAATTGGCTCAACCAAAAGCGCTTAATAGTTGAGGCCCCCAAAAAAGGCAAGAATATGTTATATGTCTCACAAGAGAGTCTATTGGCTTGAAGTGTGGATGCAGCTTAGGCCTTCTCATACTTGTGTTGAGCCTGAGAAGATAATAAGGTCGTACATGCCCATTCATCGTCCTATCACCACACTATTAAACTTTGGTTATCGGATTTCTAGGATTACCTTGGGAGCCAAGGAAATTTAACGGTTGGTATTTTATCATACAAGTACTTTTTTTTTTTTTTTTTGACAAACCTTCTTATGTCCTTGATCATCAAGTAATCCTATAACGAATTATGATAAAATACTTTTTTTTGACATACTGAGTAGTAAGGTTACTAATAACATATCCGTGTTCAATGCAGAACATTTTCTTTTTAATAGTGATGATTAATTAACCTTAGTAAGGGTGCTTGTTGCAGGATAACTGGCCGTGTGTGTTATTCGCAATGGCAGGTGGAGTAGTCCTCATTATCGGAAATCTATCCACGCAATATGCTTGGGCATTAGTAGGGTTATCAGTGGTAGAGGTGGTAGTTTGTAGCATCACTGTTGTAATAGGTATTTTCCTTTTGCTGTGAATTCAACCTTTCTTTGGACAAGATGAGGTTTTTTGTAATGAGATGTTTACTATGGCCTGCAATCTTTCTTTACAGGCACCACATTGAACTATTTCCTGGATGACAAAATTGACAAGGCTGCAGTTCTTTTCCCCGGTGTAGCGTGTTTTCTGATTGCTGTTATTTTAGGCTCATTTGTTCACTCATCTAATGCCTCTGATAACAAGAAGAAACTGAGGCATTTGTCAGCTGGTTTTGAAGATAAAGCAGAGTAATTTTCACTTCTTTTCTTAGAAGAATTATATAATGAATTGAAATTGGTGGGTTTGTATTCTAATGCAATTCTGTAACACAATCAACTTTAGTTGCAAGGATGCTTCAATGGATCCTGAAAAGGGAAAAGAAGCTAATGTAGAGGCACAATTTGGGAGTGCAGAATTCCTCATCGAACTAGAAAATAAGAGATCCATAAAGGTATTCTACTTCATCAACTGCAACAAATTTCTAGGAATGACCTATAATATTTTCTATGGTAGTACAAAATCATATAACATCACAATAGTTACAACTCCTGCTTACTGGCACCTATGTACAAATCGATATCTATACTTCGTAAGTTCGTATATGTTTTGTGATTGTGAAAAATTATTAGCATAGCATGTTTATATTCTGCCTTCCTGTAGTGCTTATATCGGATACATCAGTTATTCAGTAATCTCTCAATAATTTGTAGGTGTTTGATAGAAGCATCTGGCTTGGACTTGCTATAACTTTCTTTTCAGGAGTCTGCATCTCTCTATTCTCACCAGCACTGAATATAGCAACAAATGACCAGTTCCATCTGCTAAAGAAAGGGGTTCCACATTTGGTGGTTTACACTGCATTTTTCTACTTCACGGTCTCTAGTTTCGTGGTTTCTGTTGTTCTTAACATCATATTCCTATACCACCCTATCTTAAAATTGCCAAAGTCATCGTTTAAGGCCTACCTGGCAGACTCGAAAGGAAGAGGGTGGGCTTTACTTGCAGGGCTTCTCTGTGGTTTTGGGAATGGCCTTCAGTTCATGGGAGGTCAGGCTGCTGGTTATGCTGCAGCTGATTCTGTTGAGGTAAATTGGATTTCAATTCACTACCCCTACTAATTTTACTTTAATTTTTCCTGTTCCAAATTAAATAATACACTTGTTTAAATTTTTGGATGGTATTTATATCAGGCACTTCCTCTGGTGAGCACCTTTTGGGCTATACTATTATTCGGCGAGTACAGAAAATCTTCAAGAAAAACATATACATTGCCAGTTAGCATGTTGTTGATGTTTGTTGTGGCTGTTGGTGTCCTCATGGCATCTTCAGGACATAGGAAATAATTTAGCTTCGAAATATTGTACAAGTACATACTTGTATATATTAGGCCAGGCCTTCTGAATGCAGAAGTACTGATTTATGTTAAGCACTGTCTGAAACATTTCAAGTCTAAAGTAATAAGTTTAAAATTGATAAATTAAGGTAAAAAAAAAATGAGATCTTACCCTTGGGGTTTATCAGATCCAAAAATAATGCATAGCCTCTATTATTAAAATTAATTTTTTGATTCATCAAACTTAAATTTTTTTATGTAATAACAAACTTGATAACTTAAAATTGATTTTGACACTCCTTAATTTAGTTGTTCAAAGTCGTAACAACTTAACTACAAGTCTTACAAATAAAAAAAATAAAAAAACCAACACTATTAGGTTTGTATTTAATACTACCTTTATTAAACAAGTCATGCTGACATTATAGATTGACACATGTCATTTTCGCCTAAACTATTTATGCCCATCATCCTTTTTTATCCTCCCAATTTCCAAAGCTAAATAATAATTCATAATTAAAATAAATTACTAATAAAGAATAATTACCACTTTTATAAATATATAATAAAAATAATTAAACCACTAATCTAGCTACTTACAAAATATGAATAAATAATTTACAATAGTTCATATCTAGCTACTTTCACATTTCTCTCAATTGGACAATAAACTAGTACTTTTTAGTCCGAATTTTAAATCATAACATACATCATTAATATAAATATTAATTCATATCTCCCGTCATATAATTAATTGTATGAATTGAAAGAATGGATCTAGATGAATTCGAAACACCAACCCCCCAAACATAATTTGGGCGTTCTTTCCATTTAGAGCTTATAGATCATGATTCACCTCACATAACATGAAATTTTAACCAAGGCCCAGGCATCATGCTTTTTTCTCATCAATAATAACATAATACTAAAACAAACACTAGAAATGACCCGTGAGTCTTCCTAGTGCTGTCATTTCCCTCCAAAACACTTTCTAATAAAATAGAATAAAAATAAAAAAATATTCATACTTGCTTTTCTTTCTCTGTAGTGTATATATCCTTTTTCATTGACGATATTTATAGACAATAAATATACATATAATAGCAAGTATAGATTCTTAGTATTAATATAAATATTATTTGCTAAAATGATATTATTATAATATATATTTCAGTCAAACTTTTTTATTCAACTTTTTTGTAGAAATATCTTAACTTAAATTTTTTTTACAAAGTAACATTAATTATATTAAGTATATCTTAAAAAAATAATTATTATAAATTAGGTTATAGTGCGTCTTGTGTACAGCCAGCCGCACCGTGTGGCCGCTTGTAAAAGAACAAAGTAACCCCTAAAACACTGATCGAGTAACCCCTTTAATAACACTGACGAAGTAACCCCTATAACTCTAAGGAAGTAATCCCTGAACAATGATTGGGTAACCCCTATAACACTCACGAAGTAACCTATATAATGGCTGGCCACACGATGTGGCTAGCCACATATAAGAATTTGTGATTAGGTTAATAATAAATTGAGTTTTAGTAAATAACCGTGCATGGCACGGGTCTTAGACTAGAAACAAGACTATAATGTAGCTCAAATAAAAAAAAAAAAAAAAAAGAAAAAAACATAATTCACAGGCTAACAGCACTGCGCAGCTCAACACACAAAATAGCCTACAAGTCTTGCCCGTTGTCAATTGTTTCAAGCCCTCATCCTCTCCTACCATCCATATCCAATAATTTACCAAGCTGAACACTTTGTGAGACTGTGACAGACAGAATAGGCAAAACGAAAGACAAAGATCAAAAACCACACAACAATCAAAACGATTGCGATGAGCATAATCTTTTACTCCCAGGAAGTGTAACACAAAGGAACTTTAATTTTAATAATTATTCAAGTAATAAACAAAAAAAGGACAAACTTAAGCAATTTCTAATCTATTAATCATATTATTAAATTGAATAAATAAAGGTAAGGCAGGGAAAACATATCTTAGAGAAATAGTCAACAATCAATCAAGAAATATTATTAACAGCAACTCAGCGTTGAATCGTTGAAGTTGTGACATTAGCAAAACACAACAAGCATCAACAATCAATACTTCAACTATTCTTGATTGCTTTGGTGTTGAGAACATATTCATTTACATGCAACTGTGAATAGTACTGTCATCACAAATATCAAATCTTTCTAACGAGCATATTTGATAGTGCCTCATTGCTAGGCAAACCATCCATGCAAAACTAACAAGCGCCGACAGTTGTAGACATGCCAATGGGATCCGATCCTCAAAATCAGAATAGCAACTTGGCCACATAGCTTTAGAATATCAACAGTCTTGCACCTAGAAATGCATAAAACCTGTAGAGGGAATTCTAATACAAAAATGTACAAGGAGAATGATACAATTTCTATTACATCAATAATCAAACACTTTCAAGACTCAACACTGTTGTTCTCAGCCGACAGTAATGTAAAATGCAAAACAAAACAAACAAAGAGCAGAATTTATAAAGAAAAAAAAAATTAAAAAATTGCTCGTTGGTAATAGATTGTTTAAATATATTTGAGCATCAAGTTGCCTGAACAAAATGCATAATAAATAAACTTAGAATCTACATCAATAAGCTGTGAAACTAAATATTTAAATGGTTGGGAAATTGCCAAATCTGTATGGGATAACTACGTACATATATATGAGGACTGGTGCAGCGTACACATATAAAATGGTGCAGTACATAAAAACGAGGATCAGTACAGTGTACATTCCAGTGGCATATATGACCTATTTGTGCAACTTGCAAGTAGTAATTACATCTTCTATTTTGCAATACCCTCTGCAAATTGTGTGGGAGTTGCTTAATCAGAGTAGCTTATTCAATAACATGGTTACCTATTCTTTTGATAAATACTTGTATATATGCAATAATATAGGGATCTGTATGTAGCTTTCCACCTGAGATGTTCATGGAAATTAAACTAAAGTTCATGGAGTAAGTTTTGTATGGGTAAGTCAATGAAGAGAAGTTCTACATGCTCGACATTCTCAAAATAAATTAAGCTCTAAATAAGCAGAATTTCTCAAAATATACTCTGTACAAGACAATTGTAGGAGGCCTAGGAGCCCTAATTTAGAAAGTTTCAAAGAGCAGGGCCTCTGTGCATGCAAACAATTTCGAAGACAACAATTGTAAGACGCCTTGATGTGAATAAGGACACCACCTTAACCTTTGCAGATTACCTTGCAATTTAATCGGACTAAGTAATAAAAGAGGGAAATTAGAAAGGAATTTGATAAATATAGAATTTGATAAATATACCTTGGAAAAATTGGGTCTTGGCCAAATATGTTGTCCAACACAATCATTTGGCAGTGGATTTGCTCGATGTTGGTGGCAATAGTGGTGGAGTTTGATGATTCAAGCGCAAGGGGTACAGGGAAAGGGAGACAAATAAAGAAAAACAGACACAACACATGCACACACGGTTGGGAGAGCCGGGAATAACCCGGTGCCATCTCCCAACAAAACCACAAAAAAGATCTTTTATTAACATTGATGACCTGCCAAGCAAGCGCACCTGACATGGCAAAGGTCGGCTAACAAGACCAATTCACCAAAACAAGGAAAACACTCCATTCTCCCCATTACACCAACCATACGAGCTAATACTGCCACTTTCTCAACCACGCATAAAAAAAACTCACCAATAACACATATATTGAGAATAATTCATCTCAACTACGAAGTACATATTATGTGAACACACCATAGAATTAGTAGAGCCAAACAGCAGCACAGCCATCTTCTTATATGGCCCTATCAGCCTGCTGAACCGTGCAGAACATCCAACGATCAATCAAGACCAAACCACTAGTCCAAACATCAGAGCACTGCAAGAGTCCTGGTTCCAACAAGTGATATAGTAAAAATCAATCGACTGCAAGATTTTCAATCATACTGAAATCAACATGCTTATGCTAAACATATAAATCGTCTAACCGAACAATCAAAGATGAATCATGTTTATAAATTCGTCTAACCGAACAATCAAAGATGAATCAAGCTTCTTGAATCGCATGAAATGAATTTCATACATGAACTTTTAATTTCAATTTCAAACCAAGGTTAAATTAAATAGTCATCATATACCAAAAGAGAATCAATAGAACGAAAACAATAACCAATTTCACAGTTTTCCAACAATAAAAGAAAGATACATGCAGCAATCAAATTCTTGAAATAATAACGATATAATCACATCCAAACAGACAGAATAGCCTAAATTCACAGAGATATATTCACATCCAAACAGAAAAAATAACCTAAAAATATTCGTAAATTTCAATTAGATTAAACGAAAGAAATAATGTAAAAATCATACGATCAAGCAATTTTGCAATCAAAATTTTAATGACCTCGAAAATTCAGCGATCTAATTCTTAATAAATATGCTTGAATAACAATAATCAAACAGATAAATCGATTCAAAGAAAGGCAGGGACAGCTAATTCGAATCATATTCAAATCATAATATTCTACCAAAATCAAGAGAAAACACCGATAATTTCAAGAAATCATAATTTCTGCAAATAAATTATAATTGAATAAATAAGATCAGATAATAAATTAATACCTCCGAAATCAATCAAATCTGCAAAAAGTGAAGAAATAATCGCGAATCGACGCGAACCAAATAATTCATTGTATAATTAATCAAAGAATTTGAAGAACGATTAATTGATTAATTTGAAGAACGAAAAATTGTTTCCATTTGGTAAAAGAAAACTGATCGAGGAGAAGAAGACATGGTTAAGAGGTGAGAGAAAAGGAATCATAAAACAGGTAAAAGTATCAGATATATATAGTGGATCAAGAAAAGTAATGGACGGTTGAGATTGCATGGTTAATAGATGATTGGACGGTTGAGCGTTCAGTTAGTTGCTTAGTAAGACTTGGTAATTTTTATTTTTTTTTGACGGAAAACGATCACACCAATTTTATTACTCAAAAGATGAGGCTAAATCAGCCATTACAATATTTGAAATTTCACTAGGAACCTCCTCCATCCAAACTCTAAGATTAACAAAACAAAAACTAAGTTTGGCTAAAGCATGAGCAACACCATTACGACTTCGCTTGACAAAGGAAAATGAGCACGAGTGGCAGCCAAGAGCAAGTTGAATAATATCATTAATAACCATGCCAAAGACTGTAGGGGGGCACAATCCTTCGACAAATGGCTATACACCTTAAGACAAACAGTTTCCAAACACACGTTCCTGAAACCCGATTCCAGAGATATGCTCAGGGATAGGGCTGACAATCCATGACCCGACCCGAACCCAACCGGAAGTTACTGAGAGAAACCCGAACTACCCGAATTCGACCCGATTTGATCTAAATTTCATATTTTATAATAATATTAAGTTTGATAGTTTCTAAGTAAAACCCGAAATCTGACCCTAACCCGACCTGCTGACCGGAATTGCCACCCCTACTCAGGGAGTGTCTCAACGCAAGAGCCTCAACCACATCAACATCATACTTACCTCGTAGGCAAAGGCAAGTAGACACCACCGCATCCCCCACTGCATCATGCAGGACGCCACCCAAACCCACCGAGTTGTTACCAAAAAACGCTGCATCAGAGTTTATCTTTATCACACCATGTGCAGGTGGCTTCCATTTCGACTCCAATTGCTGCAGACTGCAATTAGTCGAGCTCATGGCCAACTGAGCTTGTTCGTAGTCACCCCCAATGCTCAATACTTTGTGAATAACATCAGCTATATCCTTCCTACGCTTCTCAAAACACCACGCATTTCTACGTGACCAAATTCCCCACAAAATAGCAAAAAAGATATTCCACTAGTGAGGGTCTTTGTGATGCAAACAAATAGAGCCACACCATTCACCAAAACACGAGCCCTCAAACTTTTCCGCCTCTAACCGTAAGGGGGAGAGGTACCAAATTCTTTTTGCATCAGGGCAAAACACTAGCATATGCAAAACAGATTCATTTTCAACACCACACATTAGGCAAATAGGATCAAGATTCATACCTCTTTGTATCAATCTTTGCCGAGCAGCCACCGCTCCCTTAATGGCTCTCCAAGCAAAAAATTTTACCTTGGGGGGTTGTCAGAGTTCCACAAAATGTTCACATACAATAAAAATACAAATAATTAGGTACTTTTTTTTTATTAGTTGTACAAATAAATAATCATATCTTTGTATGTTTACTTTTTTTTTAAAATATAGCATGAAATAGCCCTACAACTATCTTTTTTTGGAAAGAGTATAAAACAATAAGCAAAAACAAACAAGTTCTTAATTCCTTTCTAGATTCAAGATATTTACTCCATAAATTCAAGTTGTGAACTCTTTACGCATTCTTTCAAAATAAAAATAAATAAAAAAAAAAAACTTTATGCCTCATAAAATATATCAAGAATAGTTAATTGTTTGGGGTAATAGGAATAGTTCAATAATATAAATATATATATGTACACTAATTTCATTACAATTTGAAAGCTTTGAATTATGGAGTACTTTTTAGATATGACTTGTAGGTTATTTACAACTCTATTGAGTTAGCTAGGCTCATTCAGATCTGATCTCAAACTATAGATTTTTTATTTTAATTCGAACTCATCTTAATTGTTACGAGTACAACATAAGTCAAGTTGAGCTGAACTTTAAATCCGTTTTGTGTCTAGATTATAAAAAAAAAAAACCACTTTATCCGTTTAATCTTGAAGAAAGTAAAAGACAAATACATTTCCAAAGAGGAAGTAATTATTGGCCAGATTACGACTTCCCTAGTATCAAAATAAGATTAGGTGTTGAAAATGTGATAATTAATTAGCTATAGCATTGGAAATACATGCATTGCCAACACCCCATTTAAATTTACCCACACAAACAAAGAACGAAGCATCAATAATTAACCACTGTACCTACACTTATCTGATTACTAAGCGTCCTCTTATCCTCTATTATATGATTCTTGATTTAAGTAAATATATATATATATATATATATATATATATATATATATATATATATATATATAAAAGGAAAAAAAAAAAACTTTAAGTTTTATAATTGGGTTAGTTCTAATTGATTCTTGTTTATTCCATGCCATGCCATGCCATGCATCTCATGTCAGAACCGGCCAACTAGCATTACGTCAATACAAAATAGATACAAAGTACTTCGTAATAATGACCACGTGTATTAATTTTAAGCATTATGTCCTTTTTTTTAGGAAATTGCAAAAAAAAAAAATCATATTAGATTGTGAAGTGTATTATTTTAATCGATTAGAATATACTCCCTTTATTCCTGAAAGTTCGACTCATTTTGCAATTGCGCGGTCTCCAATGAACATCTTTGACCATGAATAACTCTGGTTGTGTATAAGTGAAATTTGTAAGAAGTTGATATTTGGATTATTTATAATAAGGGGTATCTAATATGATCTCACATGCTAATTTATTTATATTGTATAGCTCATAAAACGTTGTCAACGTTATTTTATTTTGACCACATGAATAGTAAGTGAGTCGAACTTTCAAAAACAGAGGTGGCATTATAAATGGATGTTGTACGTTTTGAACTACTTCCTTCGCTCCAAAAAATATTATGATGTCTAACAATTTTATCCTAAAATTCTATCCAAATTTGATTGAAAATAGAATTATAACTTTTTTATCCTACAAAGTCTATCTAAATCTATCTAATGTGGCACGACACTTGACAAAAAGTTGAAACACCAAATGTTGTTGTCTCGTGGCCTAGCTAAAAGTTTATTATTTGGTATTTTATCGAAAAAAAACTCTAAACTAACAGTTTTTCCTAAAATTCTATCCAAATTTGATTGAAATTACAATCCTAAACTAAATTTTTTTATTCTACTTATCTATCCAATGTGGCGTGACACTTGGCGAAAAGTTGGAATACCAAGTGTCGTTGTCTTGTGACCTGGCTAAAAGTTTAGCTTTATATATTAGTTACTAGTTTTGTGCCCGAGCGATGCCCGGATTGTTGAAAAAAAAAAAAAAAAATTTGCTTGAATGTTAAATACGATCACATAATCTCTTTTATAATGCAGAATATTTAGACATACGCTATCATATCACTTATTTATATAATAGTTTACTTTTTGTAGTTTTGTTTGTAAATACTCCCTTCGTTCCTGAAAGTTCAACTCACTTTGCAATTGCACGGTCTCTAATGAACAACTTTGACCATGAATAACTTTGGTTGTGTATAAGTGCAATTTGTAAAAAGTTGATATTTGGATTATTTATAATAAGGGGTATCTAATATGATGCTAATTTATTTATAATGTAAAACTCATAAAATGTGGTCAAAGTTATTTTATTTTGACCACATGAATATTAAGTGAGTCAAACTTTCGGAAACGGAGGTAATAGATATCTATTTTATTATTGACTTGAAATTGTTTTTACCGAACTTAAATTACATTTATTGAACTTAAATTACTTTTTCTGATTAAGACTTATTTTACTAATTCTCTATTATTATTTTTTTAAATAAATTAAATATATTATAAATGAATTTTGTTTTATAAACTTTTTAAAACCGGGGTATTAGCAGCCGTTTCCAGCTGTTGTTCCCCTCCCAAGGGCAGGTTCGAATTTTATGATGGAAATAGAACTCAGTTATAGGAAATTTATTAAAAGTTAGGATTAATTATATATATATATATATATATATATATATATATGATATATTAGAAGTGTATCGATAATAAAACTCTATACAACAATATTACCTTAAAAAATCTATCCAAAAATCGCTTACTTAGCATCAAATGTGTCACAATAATATCTATTTATCTCCTACGTGGCGCGACACTTGGAAAAACTGAAATGCCAAGTGTTGCTGTCTCGTGGCTTCGCTGCGAGACCGACTTTATTTGTTACTGATATGATATTATATACATTAAAAAAAATTAAATAAAAATAAAGAATTTTTTTTTTTAAGTTTTATAATTTGGTTAGTTCTAATTGATTCTTATTTATTCCATGCCATGTCATGCATCTCATGTCAAAACCTGCCAACTAGCGTTATGTTGATACAGAATAGATACAAAGTACTTCGTAATAATGATCACGTTTATTAATTTTAAGCACTATGTCCTTTTTTTTGAGGAAATTGCAAAAACTAAAACTACAAGTATTACTTGTAAGTTTTTTTGTTTTTTTTTTTTTCGTTCTTTTACATAAGACTCGTAGGGATTTTTCAAAAGAGCCATATGTTTAACGAAAAAAAAAAAAAAAAAACAAATAATTTTATTAAGATTACAGTACTTTTTACGCATTTGGAAAATAGTCAGTAAAATTAATCAAAGTAGATTCAATCTTAGTGAAAGCAAATGGTCAAATAGATACTACAAAGAACGTTTACAGATCACAATTATATTTTTTGATATAAGTGAAAAATAAAAACCTCCCGACCGTTGAACTTCCTAGTGGGTTTTGAACATACGTATAATCAAGCGTTGCAAATAAATGTAAATAAGTGTTGCATTGGGAACACACCTTTAACTTAGGTATAATCCTATCTAATCTACTCTCACAAAAGTAGCAAGCATATCATCTCTCTATATATATGTAAGCTCTACTTCATTAACAACAAACATTTTAATCATAATTTGAACCGTACCTTAAAAAGCATATTACTAGTATAAGTCAAATAAACACATTTCAAGATGAGTAAGAAAGGTACAGGTAACCAAAGCAATGAAAGAGCGATGGCATCGTCGGAGGAGAATGAAGGTTCAGACTACCTTCAAATAGGTATTGCTGTTTTAGCGGTAGGTTGGGGAATTTATAGTCTGTTTTCGGGTCGAAGAAATGATGAACGCTCCAGGGCAACCCGGTGTTCGTATTTCAAGGGATGCTTTTGAAAGGAACCCTTCTGGTTACTTTCGTGATCTTCGCAAGAATTAGGTGTTGGATCATCATATCAACCAACCATGCATGTTCATGTTATCTTGGCTACTTAATTATTATTCACTATTATAATGTAATGGATTCTCTAGAATCTTTTATTAATGTTTAGAACTATTATGGAGTAATATTGTTATTGTTGGTTAATGTTATTATGGCTATTTTATCAATGAAATGAATTCTCTATTATTATTAAGTTTCATTATAACTTCCGTATTATTGTTAGCAAACTTAGGTAAATCATGTACAACTTTGTTTATTTACATGCTGTTCTGTTGTTGCCTTCAAATGTTTGTTGACCAATCCCTACATTCAAAACATCTCATTCTTTTTAAGTTTAATAACAAAAAGTGTTGTTTCACATTCAAAAATTAATTCAAACAAACTTCTTGTAATCACAACTCGATCGAGCCAAAGTATGCCGTAAGCTACAAAGTAGCTATTAGGATATGAAATTTGGTATTAAGCAAAGATATGATATAAGCTAATTATTATGAGGCACTCTAAAAATAATCAAATTAAGCATAAAACGACACTAATAAAACATCACGATTGATATAAAACTTCAAATGTTAACAACAAATTACAAAATGTTTATAGGTAATAAAAGATTAAAAACACTACTTCATAGTTTAAAGCACTTGTCTGAGAAATTAGAAGAATAAAGTCTAAACAATAGTTAAATTTAATAACCAACATAGGTAATCCCCTATATAAAAATTGATAGGATTAACCGTCCTTTCACCTCGCTCTAATGGATTACGAGAAAAATTTAAAGGTTCCGCATTGAACAACTATGTCTCTTATGGCTCCTATAGGAGCTAAAATCGTCAACGACATGCCAAAAATGATAAAAGCCTGCAAAAGTTAAAGTATAAAATCATTAGAGATTTTGACGGAATAAAAAAATGACAAAATTTAATAAGCTTTAGAGATGAATATTGAAGCTGTAAAATTACCCAATTAAGAAACCATGATATACTGTATTTCTCTGGTTTGCGTATTATAAGCCATATTATGCAAGGTAGCTGCAATTAAATCAAATAAAATTCAATTAATAAAAAAATAAAAAATAAAAAATCAATTTTTGTATTATTAAATAAAGTTTTTAGACTTACATAAAAGGAGGTAGGTGCAAAAGCAATTCCTCCCAACACGCTGAGGAGGGATCCAAAAAAGGGAAACGCTATGCCTATAAACATAGTAATTCCTGCATAGAGTATCATACATATTTTAATATAATATAATAAATATTAATAAGTTAATAAATTAAATATGAAAAATAAATCCATAAAATAGCTTACCAACATAAGACCCACGAGTTATAATTCGAAGCTTCCTACTAGGTTGGAATTTCATTTTCAACACCATAAAAGATTCCAGCATGTCAAAAACAGGAATCGCGTAAACCTAACATAATAGAAAATTATCAATGTTTATAATCTAAAAAAAACCACAAAACACACGGATTAAAAACATAAAGCTATAACTTACTTGATAGCTGCCAATAACATGTATAACAACAAATAGATTAGCAGCAGCAATAAGCCAATTGGGGTTTTGGAGGGAGATCATAACATTGTCCTCAACAAACCTGCCGAACACGAGATAACCCACAAAAGCCACTGGAAAATAACACAATCCCACAATTACATAAGCTATTAAAGACCCTTTCCACATAGCTTTTTTAGAAGGGTTTTCCGGGCTGGTAGGGATGGTTGCTTGAATCTCCAGTACTATGTTGTGCCCAGAAAAGGCAAATGCAACCGTTCCTATTCCACTCAAAAATCCAAATATTTGGCTTGCGCTAGTATTATACCTACTAGCGTAACTTGTGTCTGGTTGTACTCCTTTTATAAGTGATGCTATCCAAGCAATAGCTGAATAACTGGATAAACAAATTATTTCAAAATTAAATATCATCCAAAATTATTATTTTAAGTAAAAATTATGTAAAATAAGTAAAAACTTGCCTGAGAGACATTATAGCTGCCGTTAATGAGACGCCAGCAATGGAGTTAAAGTTTGGTAAGTTAGAAAGCAGGAATTCGATGACCGCATACATCATAATAAAATATGTAAGCTTGATCGGCGGTCCATTTGGGTGAACAATATTATAGAACTTCATTAGCGAACTTCCTCCGGTTACCATGTAAACAATATCGCATCCTGCTTGGACCATAAATTGTTGTGGAACAATTACCCATAACCCAAGCTTCTCTCCAAATGCGTATTGCCCTAATTCGTGATAACGATCGAATCGCTTTCCAGGCACTGCCTCGTGCAATTCGATCATTTGCCATAACGTATATAATGTTATAGCCCATGATACTAACAATAATGTAACGCCCGGACCCCTGAAATAAATTAAAATAATTCAATCACTTATCTAAAAGATGCGGACTAAACATACAATTATTATTATTATTATTATTATGACAATATTTCATTATTTATTAGCTACCATAAGCTCAATATTCATAGATTCAATTAAATTTTCTTTATTACTAAAAAAAATATGCAAAATCACAAATACATATACTTTTATTGAATTGAATATATTATCAAAAATAGATCTAGTTGATGATGCTACCAAGCAAACATATACATATAAACATACTCTTACTGACATATCTGCCCCAGTACAACCAGATGATCCACAACTTCAGATCAAATCGCCTGGCAAATTGTTGGATTGAACTAACAATTTAGAACAAAATTAACGCAAAGCAACAAAATTGCCTCATCATGCACTTACATACTCTCAAATTCTGTTTCGTTAACATAATCAATTCGGACTGCTAAATTATTATAATCTCTTACCAAAGTTTTTATCAAGTCGGTTAATCACTATAATCAGAAATAAAAGGACTATATATATTTACAATTTTACATACATCAAAACATAAAAATAGTGATCATAAGGCCAAACATTATTTTCTCTATAATATACCTTTTCGTGAAAATAATTGTACAAAATTACTAACCTAATATAACATCAATACCATCCATGTCTCATATTGTTTTATCATCATGACATAAATTATACTGTAAGTGAACTAATATAAGTTAATTCGCGATCATCAATATATATATATATATATATATATATATATATATATATATATATATATATATATAAGTTAATTCGCTAAATTATTTAAATTTTGTAAAGGAGTAATTGTGTACGTACCACCCGAGTTGAGACATGGCGTATGGTAATCCAAGAATACCTGCGCCAACCATACCGGTGACACTGTGAATGGCAGCGTACCACCACTTCCCCTCACGGTTCGCCGTAACAGGGAGCCAACCGTTAAGGTTGTTCTCACCCTCACTATTTTCCTTTTTCACTATCTCACCGTTTTCCTTCATCATTGGATCCATGATCAATCGAGTTTCGTTTCAACAAATTAAAACTAACGATCTCTTTTTTTTTTTTTTGTGTGTGCTCTCTAAATTTTAATGAAGAGAATATGATTATGATTTTTTTGTAGTTTAATTTGTGTTTGGTCACGTATTTATGCAAATTTTCGAGGGAGAAAATAGTTGTGTCTCCTAACAACCTAAGAGTTTGTTTCCTAGCTACTCTAGGACTTTTTAGTGTGTGAGTTGAATGATATTTATAATTATTTTTTTGGATAAATTTTGTTGGTTTTGTAGATAAGTGGTGAGAGTGTGAATTTATTTAAAAAGTATTGCTAAAAAAGAAATTAGTTAAATCGGAATACTTGAGTGATTTTAGGATTTTATCATGCAATTTTGTTAACTTTGACCTATTAAGTTTTAATAGGAGTATATATTATGTAAGTCAAAGGATATTAAACTTGTGTGACTTTCTACCTATATTTACGGTTAGTTGGTAATTTTTAAATCACATTCTTTATCCTTATCTAAGATGTCATCTCTTAATATAATATTTACTTTATTCAATTTTTATTTAAATTTATTAACTCCTATTATATATTATGAATATACTGAGTAGTATTTTTAACTCATACCTAATTAATTTGTGATTATGAATTGTGACGTAAATTAATTTGATTGTGATTATGAATTGTAATTATTCGTAAAATTAATTTGATTGTGATTATGAATTGTTATTATTCGTAAAATTAATTTGATTGTGATTATGAATTGTGATTATTCGTAGTAATTTTAATGTTTGAAAAATAATTGATAATCACAATCAATCATATATTAGTAAACCATAACCTTAATTGATAAGTAAAAAGATAAATTACTTGTCAAAAAAAAGTAAAAAGATAAATTGATGTACGATATTCTTGACATCATTATATGATAATCTTCTTATCATTTAATGATAATTATTACTAAAGAGTAAATTGCTTAACGACAATCCTAATTGATAAGTAAATTGGTAAATAATAATCATCATTGATAAATGGTAATTTAATTTGATAAATGAGTTGGTGAATGGTAAATTGGTAATTATAATATGATAAGCAAATTAATTGATAATTGCCAATCTTCACTAAGAAGTGAGAATTGAATTAAAAAGTGATCATCCCTGATTAGGGGATTTTTATCCACCAAGCACCGTTTGACAAGTGGACCAACCAGGTTCCGCCACGCGTCCTCCATGGACCACTTAAGACACGCCACGTGTCCACCCATGCCAAATGGGACAACCGGCCATCAAGGCCCATTTCAGTCTAGAAGCCCGATCGGCCCTAGGTTTACCTTAAACCTAGAGAGTTGCACGCTTCCCAAGGCTATAAATACTCGATTAATCCTCATTAATCAAGGGACCGAATAATTGACAGAACACACTAATAACCGGCTGATCTCGCTAGCAAAGCAGATTACCTTCATTAAATACTCTCACCTAGAGAGACCTTATTACTTTAATTTCTGTATTAACTACTCCTTAATCAGGTACTAACTTGACCGTTGGAGGCGGAGCTCTCAGGAGTCTCCGTTATTTTGCAGGTACAGGCGTCCGGTTCCAGTCTCGGAATTGTAACTCTCCCGCAGGACATCAGAAAACCCCGAAACATCTGGCGCCGTCTGTGGGGAGAGTACTTCAGAGATGGCATCCAAGTCTGTACCGACTCCAGAAGAGAGGCGTCCCCTAGACGACCCTCAAGTTCAGTCGGACCATGATACCGAAAGTGAATTTGAAGTTGAAACTCATACAGCTCCAGACGGGACCCTAAGGGCCCGCCGTACCCGTCATACTGAAATAAGGGAACGGGAGTATCTTCAAACAGGAAGCGAGCCAGCAGGCGCACCGCTTGCTCGGCAACAGCCGACTGATGGGTCTGCTCCGATCACAAGGAACGAACTCATGACCTTCATGAGGGGATTCAAGGGAGAGATCCAAGAGTTGATCAACAAAAAACCGCCTGCTTCAGTCAAAGAGCAGGCGGCCAAAAAACCTTCCACTTCACTGAAGAGGAAGCCAGTTCAAGGGCGAGAGGCGACTCCCCATCCTAAATCTAAGAAGCGGGAGCCGTCTGCTCTTGATTTCACAAAACTCCGTTATCCTACGGGAAATAGGAAACCGGTTCGTCATATTCAGGCGGACGGGTCAAAGCAAACGTTCACAGATGCTCGGCACCTGCTAGAGCAGAAGAGGAGTGACCGATTATCAGAGTCGGCTTCTACTTCAAATTTTCAGGACAGTTTGCGAAATGCCTCGATGAGGCCAACTCAGTCGTACCATGAGAGTCAGTCAGGCGGCACCTCCCGACAGTCTGGCTTTCATAGTGCGCAGGCGGTACCAAATTTGCCATTTGTGCCGCAACAACAATATTTTATGCAGCCACCTCCATTTGGTGGACCTGCAGCAAAAAACGTCCAACCTATGGACTGGCAGCTACGGCTGCTTAGACTTGGTGAACAGCCGTCGGCCTTCTCCAAGGAAATTACTGAAGCCGCTCAGCCGGCCAAAGTAAAAAATGTTTTAGTAGGCGCCTATGATGGCACTACTAACCCGGAAGACCATCTGATGGCATTCACCAACCTGATGTACCTTCAAGGGTTGGATGATCCCACTTGGTGCAAGTGTTTCCCAGCAACTCTCAAGGGAATTGCACAGCAATGGTTCGGCAACCTGCCGACTGGTTGTGTAAACAGTTTCAGGACGCTTGCTTACTTATTTGCCTCCAACTTTGCAATGAACATCCCTGCGAAGAAAACGACCCTTGATTTGGGAACAATTCAGCAGGGTGAAAAGGAGGGGCTTCGTTCCTACATCAGGCGGTTCAACCTGATGAGAATACAGATTCAAGGGTTACCGGATGAGGTAGCTTATACTGACTTTTTTAGAGGTCTCAAAGACGGGTCTACCTTCAAATTTGATTTAGTTCGAAAAAGGGTGGCGACTCTTCAAGAGGCCTTGATTGAAGCAGAAGCCTATATACAGGCGACTGATCTGTGTACAATGAAACAGTCGGACGGAAAGAGGTTCGACAATAGAGAAGGACGACAGAAACAGTCGTCCAACAAAGATGAAAAAAGAAAAGGGGTCTGGGCGGCTGATTCCTCTAAACAGCCGGCCAAGAAGAAAAAGGAATTCAAACCATACTCCCCAAAGTATGTGTTTAACAAGGATAACCAGTTTATCCTAAAAGAAATAAAGGGACGGCTCTCAATTGAGAAACCGCTCCCCATGAAGGGTTCTGCGAGCAACCGGAACCAAGACAAAATCTGTGCTTATCATGATGACATTGGTCATCACACCAACGACTGCATTAGTCTCATGCGGTACCTAGACCGCTTGGCTGATCAAGGTGATCTTGACACTTATGTCAAGAAATCTACGGGGAATACTTCCTCAAAAAAGCAGTCGGCCAAAAAGAATCAACAGGCCGACAGTTCCGATACAGATGATGCAGTCGTCTACACCATTGCAGGCGGCTTCTCAGGAGGCGGCCCCACTATTAGGGGCAACAAAGATAATATAAGGCGGTTAGATGTAAATTCCGTTCACCAAGAACGACCGTCCAAATATACATTTCCTGAGATTGTCATCACTGAAGAGGATCTAGGAGGAATAAGGGGGCCGCATGACGACCCTCTCGTTATTGAATGTAAAGTGGCCAACCAGAGAGTTGGTCGAATCCTCATAGATACTGGGAGCTCTTCAGATCTCATCAGCAGCAAATGTCTGTCAAAACTGAAATATCAGACGGACTGCATACATCCGGCCTCCCACCCTTTAATAGGGTTTGGAGGAGGAGTCGTCCACCCACTGGGACGAGTTGATCTACCCGTCCGCCTGGGCGAAAAAGGGGAAGGACGACACATGGTAGTCCGATTCCTAGTTGTAGAGGAACTCTCTGCCTACAACATGATTCTGGGTCGCCCAACCCTGAATAGTGCCAAGGCTGTTATAATCCCGTCACTTATGCTGCTTAAGTTTGAAAGGGACAATGGAACAGTCGGCTCCCTAAGGGGAGATCAGAGGATGGCCCGAGAGTGCTATCTCTCGGATGTCAAACCCACTGCTAAGGCCACTGGGTCAAGTGGAGAAAAAACAGACCTTGACAATGTCAAGGAAAGTGCGCCTGTTCAAGAAACAGGCGACAGAAAAAGAAAGGCGTCCCAGACAGAGTCCGCCAGAAAGGCAAGAAAATAGCAATCACTGGCAGAGGACCGGCCGGATGAGTTCCGCCCTCAGCCGGCTGGTGAGCATACGGACCTGATATTAGACGACTCCCGCCCTGACCGATCAGTCAAAGTTGGGACGACTGCTCTGAGAAACCTTGGTGATGACTTTCACAACCTGTTGAAAGAATACAAGGACATCTTTGCATTTGAAGTCCATGAAATGCCAGGCATTAGTCCTGATCTGGCAGTACACAAACTCGCTGTGGATCCGAAAAAGAAGCCGGTACGGCAAAAGAAGCGGAACCATGGTGAAGAAAGAGGTCAGGCGGCCGCCGCCGAAGTCAAAAAATTACTTGATGCAGGGTTCATTCGGCAATGTTACTTCCCAGATTGGGTTGCAAATGTGGTACTTGTTAAAAAGCCGAATGGCACCTGGCGAATGTGTGTAGACTACACAGACTTGAACAAGGCGTGCCCCAAAGACAGTTACCCTCTGCCCAAAATTGATAACCTGGTCGACTCAACAGCCGGCCATGCCTTGATGAGTTTTATGGACGCCTATTCTGGTTTTCATCAAATTCCTTTGTGGAAGAAAGATCAGGAGAAGACGGCCTTCGTCACTGATCAGGGATTATACTGCTATACGGTCATGCCGTTTGGTCTTAAGAATGCCCCGGCTACATTCCAACGAATGATAAACACAGTGTTCTTTGATCAGATTGGGAGAAACGTCGAGGCATACATTGATGATATGATTGTTAAGACTAAACTTCAGAAAGATCATCTGACGGACCTCCGAGAAACTTTCGCCACACTCAGGCGGCACCATGTCATGCTCAATCCCAAGAAATGTGTATTTGGAGTTGAGTCTGGGAAATTTCTCGGATTCCTTATCAACCAGAGAGGAATAGAGGCGAACCCTGAGAAGGTACAGGCGGTCATTGACATGCAGTCGCCTCGTACCGTCCGAGAGGTTCAGAAGTTAACAGGTTGTCTGGCGGCCTTGGGAAGATTTCTAAGCCGATCAGGCGACAAATGCCTATACTTTTTCCAGGCAATTAAGAAAAAGGCAAGGTTTGAATGGGGGCCGGATGCTGAGGCCGCCTTCCAGAAATTAAAGGTTCACTTGCATTCCTTGCCAAGGCTGGTCAGCCCTTTGCCCAAAGAAAATCTCTACATGTACCTGGCCGTCTCTGATCATGCGTTAAGCGCGGTGCTCCTTGCTGAAAGGGACGGCTGCCAACTTCCGGTCTACTTTGTCA